TAAGCTGCAGCGCGTCGCGCGTCGCGCCTCGCGCGACTGGCGAGCTTAAGCCCGCCTCCCGGAAGCTCCGCCCCTGCGCCGGTGGTTGCTAAGCGGCCAGAAAGCGCCGGCTCAGTGTGGGCGGAACCAGCGGGAGCGAGGTGGGAGGCGCCAGGACGTCTCGCGGCGCTGGGAATCGGCTTTCGCAGGCCTGATTGGCCACCTAGCGGCGTGGGCTGAGAATCTTGTGCGTGAGGTTTCTGGGCGAGGGCGCCCGAAGGGCCTTGGGCAGCTTGGAAAGCCTCGGACCCAGAAGCCGCCGACTTCAGGGGCCTGGATTTACCTCTCAAAAGGTTTTCAGATTTTTTTTTTTTTTTACTGTGGGCGAGAGTTCTGAGGTCTTAAACTAATTTGCTACATCCTTTATTCTTCTCTTTGATATACTTAAGTGCATGCCCTTCACTGGGAATCAACCGTTTGTCCCTTAATACGTAATAAGTAATAATTATCCTATTAACAAGGATAGTAAGCTCTAACACGGCGTTTACTATGTGCCCAGCTCAGCCCTCAACTACTTACACATACTTATCTAATACTTTGGACAACCAAAGTAGATGGGCCTGATTATTGTTCCCAACCTAATAGATGACGAAACTGAGGCACAGAGAAGTAATTTGTACAAGACCACACAGAAGGAAAGTGGGAGGCCAGGATCAAACCTAGCTAGTCTACGTTTAAAGCCTGTGATCTCGCGTGAATAATTGGTATTAATGTGTCATAATGGGGCGGGGGGGGTGTTCATATTTCATCCTGTATTTCATGTCCTAACCCCATAGAAAGTGTAAAGCCATCCAGGCAGGCATCCGGAAGATTTGGGAGGTTTGTGTGGTGGCATGTCACTGCCCTCCAGTCAAAGACCACTTGGAACACCAGTGTGGTTTAACAAGTTGGGTTTATTTCTCACTGCTGCAAGGAAAACGCACACTTCGGGACACAGTGGGACATCTCAGTAAGAGGGTGTTAGAAAGATTTATTATAGGATTTGGGCTTCGTTCGGTGATTTTGGGTCAAGTTCAAGAAAACTGGGGCTTTGCTCTGGATTGGGTGTGGTTAGGAAGCCAGTGTAACACCAAATCCCAGCTGTGAGTGCCAGATGTTAAAGGCTGCTTTTCTCCTTCTCAAGTGAATTGTATGTTCCAAGCTACCCCCATCCACATCCCTAAGGAGAAATATTGAGAAGGCTCTGCATTAGTAGTGGAATGACATATGTATATAAAAATGTGAAGTATATTGATAAATTAGGGCAGGAGTTTTTAATTTGGGAAGTATGTGAACTTGGATGGGAAAAAATTACAACTTTATTTTTACTAACCTCTAACTGAACTTTACCATTTCTTTCCATTATAGTGCAGGCAACAAACCACAGTAATATCAACAGTACCTGTGACTTGGTCATTAAGAGAAAGCGCAGATGTCTTCATATAATGTTCTAGTCATGGAAGATTTCTTGAGATATCATTTCTGCTCATTTACCACTTCACAAGTACAGTAGTGACTAGAGCTCTCATTTTATTTAATGCAGAAAGAAGGCACATATCTCTGTAATTTGGTTTTTGAAAATAGTGCAACAGTGATTTCAATATAATTGAAGTTTTCTGGAATCCTACATATTTTATGTTGTGCATTTTTAAAAGCATAGTTTGTTTTTTTAATATATTTTATTGATTTTTTACAGAGAGGAAGGGAGAGAGATAGAGAGTTGGAAACATCGATGAGAGAGAAACATCAATCAGCTGCCTCCTGCACATCTCCTACTGGGGATGTGCCCGCAACCCAGGTACATGCCCTTGACCGGAATCGAACCTGGGACCTTTCAGTCCGCAGGTGGACGCTCTATCCACTGAGCCAAACCAGCTTCGGCAAAAGCATAGTTCTTGTAAGGAGTCTGCCCTTAGGGATTCACAACACCCAGTGAAAAGAGAAAGCCCCTGATTTAGTAGAAGAGACTAAGCAGTGTCCAAGAATTTGGGAACTGCATCCAAATTGGAGTAATGCATCAAAGGATAGAAAATCAGAGATGGAATCAGATCATGTAGTACACACCATCTCACTTTACCAAGGTGGGGACTGTGTTACTGAGAGTTTAAGGCAGCAGTCGCCAAACGGTGGTCCGCGGACCACTGGTGGTCCATGAGGTTGGCAACCACTTGTTTAAGGGACTTGCCCAAAGTTTCACAGCTATTCCATGACAAAATCAGGGTAGAAATTTTTTAGACTAGCATGTGAAAACCCTGCACTCTGCTAGGCATTAGGGAGTCCATAGTTAGCAATATGCCTCCTGCCTTCAATGAACTTGTAGGATGACAGCCAGGAAAACAAATGATAATGCAATATGAGAAGTACTCTAAAAGAAAAACATATACAGCACTATGGGACCTTGGAGACAGGAGTGAGCAGCGCTTTAAAAAAACAAAAGGTGGAAAACTTAAGAGATATCAGTGAGCTGGGGTCTTCAAGGATGAATTGATGTTTGCTGGTGGCAGGGAAGTCATTCCAGGTAAAGGACATGGCCTGATCAGCAGTCCGGAGTTGTAAAACATTGACTGATTTTGGCAAGAAGTTCCTGTTCTCACAGAGTGTAGCGAGGAATGCTGATGAAAGTTGGTATTTTGAGGTTTGACAGAGAATGGAACTAGATTGTGAAAAGGCTAGAACGGCATACTTGGGAGTCTGGACTTCAGCTTGGAGGAAATGGAGGTGTTCCTGAAATATTTTGTTTTATTTTTTAATATATTTTTATTTATCTCAGAGAGGGAGGCAGAGTTAGAAACATCAATGATGAGAATCATTGTTCGGTTGCCTCCTGCTCACCCCCTACTGGGGATCGAGTCCTCAACCCAGGCATGTGCCCTGACCCGGAATCTAACCGTGACCTCCTGGTTCATAGGTTGACTGAGCCACTGCGACCAGGCCCTGAAATATTTTAAGTTGGGGCGTGATGAGGTTGGGATATTGCTCTAAAAAGTTAACTCCAGCTGCAGAGTGGAAAATGAATAGGAGGACTAAGAGCCTGGAGACAGGGAGACCAGTTAGAAGGCAGTTGGATAGATCCCTTTGTCTTTCCCACATTCCTCATAATATTTTTAGTACACAAAGACTGTAAACTAAGAAAATTAAGAGATACATGATGCCTTCCTTTTTAAGGAGTTCTGGAATTAGTACAACAGTCAATGACATTTGAGTCTCATCCAAACAGTGTAATAATACAAATTATGACCTCAAATGCTTAATTTATATAGTTTCAGATTACTTCATTATAAGAAAAATGAGTGGTTCCTCAAAGGCAGGGGCCACTGGTGATGAAAAATCAACTGATCCAACGATAGTAAAAGGCCGCAAAACACCTTTGCCAAATACTAAAAGGAAAAAGCCAGTTCGACCGTGAGTAGCCAAATTTCACCTTGTATCATTTTCCACAACTGGACAGTTTACATACAGTATTTACCTAGCTAACATCAAACACTTCTTGTTTTGTCAATTATAGATTTTTGTGTGTTTTTAAATTATTTTTGAATTGGATAATTATTAAAATTACTAGAGGCCCAGTGCACGAAATTCATGCACTGAGGGGGGGGTGCTGTCCCTCAGCCTGGCCTGCACCCTCTCGCAATCCAGGAGCTCTCGGGGGATGTCTGACTGATGAGGGAGCGAGCCTAAGCCGGCAGTTGGACATCCTTAGTGCTGCCATGGAAGCAGGAGAGGCTCCCACACCGCCCCTGCACTCAACAGCTGTGAGCCCAGCTCAGGGCTTCTGGCTGAGCAGCGCTCCCCCTGTGGAAGCACACTGACCACCAGGGGGCAGCTCCTGCATTGAGCGTCTGCCCCCTGGTGTTCAGTGTGCAACATAGCAACCGGTCGTTCGGCTGTTCAGTCGATTTGCCTGTTAGCCTTTTATTACATAGGATAGTATTTCATAATTTATAAAGCATGTTAATGCACATCTCTTTGAACCCGATACAACCCTGTGAAGCTGCCTTATTACATTTTATAAATGAGGAAGCCACAACTGGGAAAAGGTAGGTGGTTCGCAGGAGGTTAGACAGCTAATAAATGGCATTGGCTCAGATTCAAAGGACTGTTTCCATACTCCAGGCTTTTTCTACTCTACACCTTGTAGTCTGCATTTTGCCAGCCAACAGTGACGCTATACAGGAATACCTCTCTTTGTGCCTGCAGCCCTGTGGGGTAATGATGGGGTTGGGAAGTTGGGGAGAAAGAGATCCCTGTGACTTGCCAGTGCTGGGATATGAACAAAAGTAAAATAATTATCTGGCCTGACTAGGATGAACCTGGTTCAAGCATAGATCACAAAGGAGTTTCTTTTCTAGGGCTGGTAATCGGCTCTCAGAAGAGAATTGGGCCTACTATAAACTTCAACAATTCCACATTGTATTTTCTTAGCACTTGAATTAGGTGGACAGGTTTTTTTTATTAATCCTCACCTGAGGATATTTTTGCATTGATTTTTAGAGAGAGGGAAAGACAGAGAGATATATCGATGTGAGAGAAACAATCGATTGGTTGCCTCCTGCACGCACCCCGACCAGAGCCCTTGACCAGAATTGAACCAGGACCCTTTGGTCCGCAGTCCAACGCTCTATCCACTGAGCCAAACCAGCTAGGGCAGTTGGACACTGGTGGGTTTTTTTAAATATATTTTTTATTGATTTTTTACAGAGAGGAAGGGAGAGGGATAGAGTTAGAAACATCAATGAGAGAAAAACATAAATCAGCTGCCTCCTGCACACTCCCTACTGGGGATGTGCCCGCAACCAAGGTACATGCCCTTGGCTGGAATCGAACCTGGGACCCTTGAGTCCTCAGGCTGACGCTCTATCCACTGAGCCAAACAGGTTAGGGCTGGACAGTGTTTTTAAGAACTAACTACAGAGAAATCATTTTAGGTTATGGATGATTTTAGAAAACAAGTTTGTCTCCTCATACATTATTTATAATATACTAAAAAGCCCGGTGCATGAAATTCATGCACTGGGGGTGTGTGTGGCGGGGCTCCTCAGCCCAGCCTGCCCCATGGGGAGTGGGCCTAAGCCACAGTCTGGCCTCATAGGCTCAGAGCAGGCGCCTGTGTGTGTGTGTCCATTGGGACCCTATCCCCAGCCACGCCTTGGAGGATCAGAGCAGGCGCCCCGTGTGTGTGTGTGTGTGTGTGTGTGTGTGTCTGTGTTTGTGTGTGTCCACTGGGGGCCTACCCCCAGCCGTGCCTTGGAGGCTTGGAGCAGGTGCCCCTCTGTGTTGATCTGTCAGGCTCCGGGCCACGCCTGCGTGTTGTTCTCTCAGGCTCGGGGCCCTGGTTGTGACTGTTATGGAGTCCAAACCTCATTTGCATGTTACTTCTTTTTATATATGTAGATATGCCTTTTGATGATAAAGTTTTTATCAGAATAGTTTTTTAATCTCAATGGAAATATTCTCAAGTATTTCATATCCCCATTCTAACTAGATTCAGCAAATAACCAACTCCAATGACCACATATAAATGTTCCTCGTTAGGTCAGTTTTAGGATGGGAGTGGGGAGGTGCAGTGAAGAGGAAGCATAAATTCAGAGTCCCCCAAGATTTTAGGAAAATGAAAACAACTTCATAAATCTTAATCTCTCTTTTTTCTCTCAGAACTCTTAGAGATATTTCAGCTCTAAAGATACAAAGAGCTTGGCTATCTTATATGGACAGGACAATATTTCAACTCCTAAAGCATGCAATTTGTGCAGCAGTATGTATCTTGCTTTCTGTTTTCTCTGACAGATTTAATTACTTATGAAGCTAAAGTACCTGTTAAATAAGGATAAAATATATAACCTTTTTTCTCCTATTTAAATCTAATATTATTGTATAGGGTTCTGGGATTGCTTCTTTGATTAGCCCTAAATGCATATTTCTGGATTTATTTTAACATAGGTGACTATTATTTCTTTTTCTGAAACTCACATGGTATTTTTAAATTAAGTTTATTTGATGATATGAGACAGTGATCATCCAACAATAAAAATCTCTGAATTAAAAGTGCCCTTTCCACCCTGGCCAGTGTTGCTTAGTGGTTTCAGTGACACCAAGGGTTTCGGGTTTCATTCCCAGTCAAGGGCATGTGCCTGGGTTGCAGGTTAGATCCCCGACCCCAATCCAGGTGCATGTGGGAGGCAACCAATCGATGTGTCTCTCACATTAATATCTCTCTCTCTCTCTCTCTCTCTCGCTCTCTCCTTCCCTCCTTCCCTCCTTCCCTCCCTCCCTCTCCCTCTCACTCTCCTTCTCCCTCTCTCCTTCCCTCCCTCTTTCTCCCCTGCCCTCCTCACTCTCTCTAAATGTCCATGGAAATAATATCCTCAGTGAGAATTAACAACAATAAAAAGAAAAAACATGCTCTTACCTTCCACCTAGCAATTTCACTTCTAGGACTCTCTTTTATAATCTATGTACCATTTCACTGCAGTATTTATTGTTTGTAACAGCAAAGGAAGTAAAACCATGTAATGTTCATCAATTATATGGTTAAGTAAGTGTTGGTGCTTTCATAGTGTTAAACCTCGAAGCCTTGCATATAATTCTGCAGTGGAAAGATAGCTAAGATATTGTGCTCGTGAAAAAGGCAAGTGCAGAACAGTATAAATAATACAGTCCTATTTGAGTAAAATAAAATGCATATCCTCCAACCCCCCAAAGAAAAACTCTGTCAACCCTAGTAGAGTATTAGAACTTTTGTCATACAGTACCAAATACTCTAATAGAATCACCCATGATTACAGTAGTCTATTATTAGTAACTAGAGGCCCGATGCATGAAATCTGTGCAAGAGTAGGCTTTCCTTCCCCCAGCTGCCGGCATCGGCTTCCCTCTGGCACCTGGGACCCAGGCTTCCCTTTGGCCCCCGCAGACACCCAGGACCCAGGCTTCCCTCGCAGCTCCGGCTTCGTCCAGAAGGTTGTCTGGAAGGACATCCAGTCTAATTAGCATATTATGCTTTTATTATTATAGATAGTCATATTAAGGGAATTTTAGCCCCTTTGAAAAAATGATACAGTCTGAGCACTGTGTACACCTCTTCACCATCTGACCCCACAGACCATTTGTGATATCAGTGACAGCAAAGTACCCCACCCAGGTCAACTTGTGACATTGCAGGTTCATTGTCTTCACATATGGAACTTGTATTTAACACATTGTTTGCGGGTAGTTTTTATCGCGCGCTAACAGGTGGCGCGGGCCATTTTTGCTAATTTTTTGCGCAAATGGCAACGTTCAGTAAAATTACGATAACTTTAGTTTACGTATTTATACGTTGCCTACATTCTACCGCTAGTCTATAAAAAACATATTAATACTTGTCCCGTGCTCTACTACACTGGTAGAACGTATAAATACGTTTCCCACATACAATGTGTTAAGTATGATCATACTGGTTTTGTTATCATTTTAGATTCTTTTAGTGACAGAAAGAATGAAATTCTTTTTTTTATGTTATCCTAATACTTCAAGTTACTACCTTACATTAATACTGCTTTGTCATTTTAAAATCCCTTTAACATACATTTTTATGTGATTGTCATAGGCATAAATGTTGGACAGGGTCATATGGGAGAAAAGTGGGGACTTTAAAGTCAAACAGATCAAAGTTTGAATCCTGGCTTCCCCACTTACTACCTGTATGCCTTTGGATAAGTTACAGACACTTCCAGAGCCTGCTCATTTATAAAATGGGAATGATAATCCTATCTAATAAAAGACAAAAAGGGTAATTAACCGTACCTCCGCTACTCTTCCCATTGGCTAATCAGGGCAATATGCAAATTAACCGCCAACAAGGATGGCGGTTAATTTGCATGCACAGGCTCCAAGCAGTGGAGCAAAGCCAAACAGCCCCAAAGCCGTGGAGCAGTGAGGCCTCACCGTCTCAGGATCAATGGAACCGCGAGTCCTACTGGGACTGGGATCAATGGAACCACAAGTCCTACCGGGACTGGGATCAGCAGAGCCGCGAGGCCTCCCAGCCCTGGGATCAGCGGAACTGTGAGGCCTCCCAGCACTGACGTCAATTGGAGCTGAGAGGCCTCACGCCCCGGGATCAATGGAGCAGTGAGGCTTCCCGGCCCTGGGATCAGCAGAGCCAAGAGGCCTCAGTACCCCGGGATCAGTGGAGCCTAGAGGCCTCCCGGCCCTGGGATCAGTAGAGCCGAGAGGCCTAAGTGTTCCGTAAAGATGGAAAAGGCCTTGCCTTTGTGGGACGGAGGGTCCTCCTGGCGACCCATCCATCCCGGCCTCATGCTCCGCCACAGCCTGCGTCACTCACCTCACTTCGTCTCATCACGCCGGCCTTGCGTCATCTCACAGCATCACAAGAAGCGGGTGAGTACAGCACAATAAGTTATTTTGAGAGAGAGACCATGCTCACATACATGTTATTACAGGGTTTTGTTATAATTGCCCTATTTTATTATTAGTTACTAGAAGCCGGGTGTACAAATTCATGCACCAGTGGGGTCCCTCACCTTGGCCTGCGGGAATCAGACGAAGCCAGCAGGTCGTTATCCCCCGAGGGGTACCAGATTGTGAGAGGGCACAAGTGGGGCTGAGGGACACCCCCCACCCCCGCCAGTGCACAAATTTTTGTGCACCAGGCCTCTAGTATTCAAATAATATTGCTGAGTTATAAGGATTAGATGAGGTTATGTGTATAAGGTACCTAACGTAGTATGTGGTATATAAAAGTGCTTAAAAGCTACTAACAGTACTATGATCATCCTCATTTACAGTGATTCATTTAGTATCATATACTGTGAAGCACTTGCTGTGTTCCAGGCACTGTACTAGGTGGTGGGAATACAGTGGTAAAGAAGAAGGACACTGCCCCTACCTTCATTAAGCTTATAGTCTAGTAGAGATAAAAATGAGTTTTTAGTTCATTACAGTACATTGTGAGAAGTGTTAT